CAGCGATTGATGTATGCTTTATTGTAAAACGAAAGCCAGCTTAAATTGTTAAACAATGTCACTGTTCGACTCTGTGCGAGGGGCACTCAGAATAATACGTGCCGCCAGTTTTTGCATTCAGAGAACTCTCTCGAAAAGCATTTTATTGCACTATGTCCATAGTGGGCTTGCACATATCATGAGTGGTTTTATGACTGCGTTCAAGTAAATGATTCTCTGATTTTTTTTTTCAAATATGGGCTGATATGGCGTAAAAGGCCGAGACGCTTGGAGAGCTTGTTGCAGGGTTCATCGACATGTACTTCGTAAGTTAGGTCTCCGTTGATGATCAAGCCAAGAAGTTTATGACTTCCGACTTGGTCAATTTCTGCGGTATACTTCCAGCTTTCCTGAATCGTGGTCCATACGCTTACGTGGACGCATTCCCGTAACCAACAAAGCTTTTGTTTTTTGCGTATTTACGTACATTTTGTTACCTCTCGCCCACCTCTCTATCTCTGCCATATCATAAGATAACGGTTTGGATTAGTGATGAAATGATTTTCCTATTTGAACTTGAAGACAAGGTGGAATCATCTGCATAAATGTCCATAGTTGATTTGTAAACATTAAGAGGCATATCGTTGACGAACAAAAGGAAAAGCACCGGACGTAAAATTGACCCCTAGGGCGCACCCTGCTTTACGGTCAGCTGTTCAGATTTAACTTTCCCTAAAGTAATAAACTGCTTTCTCTCAGACAGGTACGATTTAAACCAAGCGACGGAAGAGGGACAAACCCCGTAAATAGACCTTTGTTAGAAGACGTTGATGATCAATTACATCAAAGGCTTTGCGAAAATCTATAAACACCAAACCAGTCAACTTGTCATTGTCCATGTTTGTTAATATATGATCTGTAAGTCTGATCAGGGCTGTTTCTGTAGAATGTCCTGACCTAAAAGCTGATTGGAGCTCGTATAACAAGTTGTTATCTCGCACGTGCACAAATTTTAAAAGGGAGCTGGCTACGTGCTTTTCGAGAATCTTCGAGAAAACAGGTAAAACAGGTACTTTCTTAAAGCGCGGGAACAACAAACCTACGAAGCCGGGTCCTGAGTATTAAACTGGTTATAAAATCAGCGTTTTTGCGCTTTTGTTTTCCTTTGAGTATGCCCACCCACACAAAAACAATTGACAACTATTAAAACATTCATTTTAGAGGGCGTTTTTGACAACCCGCCGGTTTAAAATTTTAGTAACTTTTAATGTATGTACGAAGGCCGCGACGCATCAAAATGTGTACGTTTTCAGACGAAAACGCATTTTATATGAGCGTTTTCACTGAACCTGAAGTTATAACTTATTCTACTCATTCTCTATATACACGGACTACTGCTAACCGGCCTTGCTGCCTTCTTGTATGAATGGGTTTCTCTGTCGCCCCCACAAACAATGCAATACCACGAAGGAAATCAGAATTTAAAATAACATACTTCCTCATTAAGCTATTTTGAGCCATTTGCATAGAATATTTGCTTAGATGTTATGTATGCTTTGTCTTATAGATTTATGCCGCAATCACTGCCAGAGAGAAACACTTGACAAATGAGTTAGAGCAGCTGTACAGTAGTAAGGCAGCCATCCTCACAGAGCAACAAGACCGTCTACGAAAATTTCAAGAAAGCTTAGTGAGTACTGTCCAGAGTGTTTTGTCCAGCATCCAGTCCTCTCACGATCCTGAGCTTCTCGTTGCCAGGTCTGCTTTAGAGGCGACGCTTAGGGACACAGAAAACCAACCAATGATGCTTGAGCCAAAGGTCCAGTTTGTCCCAAAGCTTATCTTTCAGGGTGATCGCAGGGGATTCCATGAGCTACTGGACGCCCTCAATAAAGGAGTTAGCGTCATTGACGACCTAACCTGCGCAGAAAACACAAGTGTGGATGGCACAGGATTACTTACAGCGCGTCCAGGATTTGAGAATTCCATTCTTATCATTGCTCATGACGCCCAAAAGCGTCGCCGGTTTCGTGGTGGCGACTTGTTTATGGTGGAGCTTAAAGACAAGTTTGGTAACGAGAAGGTTACTGGAAATGTAGAGGACAGAGGTGATGGTAGTTATTTGGCTACTTACACTGTGCCCACAGATGCGGAGCCAGGGCATTACATGTTGAACGTGTGCTTAGATGGTGTTCACATTCATGGCAGTCCTTTTGCGGTGACATGTCTTTCAGCCTTATGATAAAGTATTCACCAGCTTTATATATGGAAAAAGTTATGGAGCTGGAAGATAATTAGGTATATGATCATCCGGGTGAGTGTGGTCTTGAATACACTGAGTAGACAGTGACTGATATTTCGACAACCTGTATGGTAGTTATTGACCTGTGCCCAGTTGTTCAAAAGGTGGATAGCGCTATCCACTGGATAAATAACTATCCAGTGGATAACGCAATTGATTTCCCCAATATTTATCCACTGGATAGCGATTTATCCGGTGGATAGCGCTATACAAAGTTTG